ACTCCTTTTTAGAGGGTTATGCTACATTCACAAAAGAGATGCCTCTCCAATCCATAGAAGCGCTGCCTCTTTTATCAATGGAAATATCTGCCTTTGCTATCCGCAGAAAACCTACCTCTTCTTCGGTGCCTTATTTTCGTATATCGAAGTTCTTCTCTGCTATTCATCGCTGCTATTAGCTAAACATTTGTCTTCTATTGTCTAAAATTGTGTTAATGGTCCATAACAAATTTTGTTGTTGTTGTTTTTTTTTTTTTTTTTTTTTTTTTTTTTTTGACAATTTGCTCTCATTTGTAGACATTCGGTTGTGGTCAATATTTCATCATTCTCCCATCGACATTTCAATTCAATTTTCAATGGCTAATAACTCATCGTCGCTTCCCAGCTCTGAATGGATAGTAACCATGGACTGGTAGTAACTATAGTTTAACTTTCCCCCCTCCTCCCCAATGGAAATTTATGTTGCAAAGTCAAGGGAAAAACTGCCATAAAAATCATTTTACTTGCCGGCCAAAACAATGGCTTTAAATAACCCGAACAACAACCACGTTTACAACCATCATCGTCATCATCATCTTCAGAGGCATGGTTGTGTGCTGTTGTGAGCGGCCGTCAGCCTCTTCCTGTGTGGCATGCGTTGTGCAGAATTGCAGACAATAGACATTTTTACAGTAAAGTAGAGACTCTCTAACAACAACAACAAAAAACCCAAATGCAAACAGAGGCAATTTAAAGACGACCTAAACGGCCATGTGGCCGAGCCGGCTGCCCGGCCGGTATTTGCAGAATTTCCATTTGCTACAATTATCTTTGTACTTGGGGCTGTTTGGATTCTTTTACCGACTGTTATTTAACGAGTCTGGCTGGGTCTAAGTGTGTTTGTGTGTGCGTGTGTGTGTATAGTGTAAATAATAGAGGACAGACAGGACAAGCAAGGCAATGTAGGATTGAAAAAAAAATAAACATTTAACAAAAATGTTGAAGATTGAGCTCGAAGAAATATTTTTAAAAAATCTACGACTTTTTTAAAACTTGAATTTTTATAAATCATCGTCCCTTTTGTTGTTTAGAACATGTTTTTTAAACATCGACGTCTATTTTAGGATTTGGACAAATATATTTAAAAAATCCGCGCCGGATTTTTTTTTAAACCAGTGAGCGAAGCTGTATAGCCGTACGGGGCCGACCATACCATACCCTGCACAACTACCACGGAACTCTAATTTTCTGCTGATGTTTATTCCGAATCTGGTCAATTTTTCTGTCCACACATGTCCCTATCTTGAATAATTTCTGCAAATATTATAGCAACTTCGAAAAGAAAATGCAGCCCTCAAAAATTGAAAAAAATGAGAGCACATCAGAACAGAGACCTATATCGACAAATGTTTGCAAACATATTTTTCACCCTTCTAGAACCCGGAATGGCAAAAAAGAAAGCCAAAAGAACCCGGAATGCCAAATTATAGCCACTTCAAGGGAGACAATTCGGCTTGAACCTTCAAAATATCGAAATTTGGACTTTACGTAGAGGCCATATCAAAAACACAAAAAGTATCGGCAAATGTGTTGTTCACCTTCCAAAAACTCGGAATGCAGCCACTTCTATAAAGAAAAAATACCGACAATGGGGGTCTGTGTCCAAATAGAGATCTATCTTCAATATATGAAAATATCGAAAAATGAGACTTCATCAGAACAGAGACCTATATCGATAAATGTTTGCAAACATATTTTTCACCCTTCTCGAACCCGGAATGGCAAAGAAAAAAGCCAAAAGAACCCGGAATGCCAAATTATAGCCACTTCAAGGGAGACAATTCGGCTAGAACCTTCAAAATATCGAAATTTTGACTTTTAGGATTTAAATAAATATATTTAAAAAATTCGCAACGTTTTACTACTTGAAAAATATTTTTAAACCAGTGAGCGGGGCTGTATAGCCCGATTAGAGATCAACAGCACCTCTTCCTTACACTGACATATTTTCCGAATATTTCTAATATTCAGTACAGCCCTTCTAAGTAATTTTTCCCTTCACTGTGGGTTGTGTTGTGATGCTCAGCTTATAATTGTCGCCTACAGATCGACTCGAAATATACAAAACCAGTAAGGAAAGTTCAAAAGTCAGACGGGGCCGACTATATGATACCCCTCACCACTTTGGGTAGATACAAGAGTTGTTAATATCTACAATATCCTGTAGATAGAACAGACATCGAATCTTTAGAGGCCCATTGAGATGGAATCGGGCTTAATTAAAATCGGACGAAACTTTATATGGGAGCTATATCTAAATCTGAAACGATTTCAACAAAACTTCGCAGACATCAATCTGCACCTAATTCAGTGCTCTGTGCAAAATTTTGTCCCAATCGGACGTATATTGGGAGTTTGGTGTATCATTCACAAAAAATCGGACGAAACTATATATAGAAGCTATATCTAAATCTGAACCGGTTTTCTCCAATGTCAGTTTCTCCTTGGGCGAAATAAGTGAACTGTGCAAAATTTTGTCCCAATTGGACATATATTGGTCGTTTGGTGTATCATTCACAAAAAATCGGACGAAACTATATATAGGAGCTATATCTAAATTTGAACCGATTTTAACAAAACTTCGCAGACATCAGTCTGGACCTAATTCAGTACTCTGTGAAAAATTTAGTGCCAATCGGGCATATTTTGGAGCTGTGGTGGACCATTAGCTGAAAATCGGACGAAACTATATATTGGAGCTATATCTATATCTGAACCGATTACAGCGAAACTTTCCACGCCGTAGGTTACACTATCTTCAGAACGTTCTGACAAAATGTTGTGCCAATCGGCCATATTTTGCAGCTTTACTGAAAATTGGACGAAACTATATATAGGAGCTATATCTGAATCTGAACCGATTTTTCCCAAATAAGTGACATATGCCAACTTTCATCCAATTCGTATCATAAATGCGACCTGTACTTTGTTTACAATTTAACATAGACAGACAGAGAGACGGACGGACGGACGGACACGCATAAATCAACTTAGAAAGTGATTCTATGCATATTCTCAAAAGGAACCATGGGTCTATGTCGTTTCCTTTTGCCTGTTACAAACATATGCACAATGATATAATACCCTTTACCACGTGTGGTGAAGGCAATATAGGAGACCCTACTTCTAGTGTGGTAGGGTCTTCATTGGGCAGAACCCATCCTACATGCAAAAATTCGTGATGATTGACCAATAACTGTGGCCTGTATCGTGTTTACAAATTATAATTGACAGACGGACGGACACACAAGTCTAGATGGACTCAGCTAATCGATATATGACGATCGGTATACTTAAAGGTGGATCTAGGACCAATATTTCGCGGCGTTACAAACTCTTGGGGCTACACAATGCTATAATACCCTGACAACATACAAATCCACGCCGATTTTACTACTTAAAAACATTTTTAAAAAAATCCACGCCGATTTTACTACTTGAAATATTGGTCCTAGACCCACCTTTAAGTGTACCGATCGCCATATCTCGACTAGCTGAGTCGATCTAGACATGCGTGTCCGTCCGTCTGTCTGTCCATTATAATTTGTAAATACGATACAGCCCAAAGTTATGGACCAATCTTCACGAAATTTTGCATGTAGGATGGGTTCTGGCCAATGAAGACCCCTATTGTTTTTGGTAAAGATCGATTAATATTTTGGGGATGAAATGGAACAAATACTTAATGTTTGTCGGGTCTAGAGGGTAGAGGCTCTAGAGGCTGTAATTATGACTCAAACATCGCTAATTTTTACATGGAGAAGGACCAAAGAATAAGCATTGATAAAGATCGGTCAATATTTAGCGGGTCAAATGGATCCTGACTTTTGTGTGAAAAATGGCAAAATTTGTATTCTATGGCGTATATAGTTGCCTCTGAAGGACATAGGCCCGAGAAGTTGACAGTATATCCAAGAGGAGTATGTATGTACTCGGATGTGGGAGTTACAGGTAAATATTTACAGATGCTTACGTATTCATATATTACTTAGTAACCTATTACCACACTAGAGGGTTTTGAAATTTTTCATGAGCTTCCGGTTATCTTCAAGGACGACGTCTATAATTTTCGCTTAAGTTGAGATGATATTTAGAGGTTGCAATGAACTGAAAACTTCATTTTTGTCAGATTTGCTAGTCGCTCAATATATTTTACGCGGTAAAGGGGATCTGAACAAATATTTAAAATAGATGATTATCGTTCAATATTCCGCGGGTAAAATCACCAAAATCTAAAGTGTCCAAATTTTTGTGGCGGGAAAACAAGATTTTGAAAATATGCCAAGGTTGGAAAATTGAGCTGTTTTCCTTTAATCGGTCATATATAATCGGTAATACGGCTCACCGAAAGAAAGTTAGATTCTTATGGTAGTTGTGTAGGGTATCATATGGTCGGCTTCGTCCGACTATACTGCTCAGTTCATTGGGTTTTAATAATACAGGTCTTTAGAAGACCCTTGAAAAAAAATATTTTTTTTTAAAAATCCATGCCTATAGATGGACTATTGGAAAGATATTTTATGCCGATTTTTTCGCTTGTTATAGGGCATACACACACATCTATGTTAAGGCTATTCACATAAAATAAACGACCGACCCTCCGAACTAAACTACTCCCGAAATATTTTTGGTAACTTATTGCAACAAAAACAAAGAAGTTTATTGCTCCCTCTTTGTGGTCTTGAAATATTTCAGTGCTCCCCAAAAAATCGAAACCCGAAGTGCCTTTAAAAAGCTTGTTAGGAATTAATCCTTTGTTTTTGGTCTTCTTCTATGGAAATGGAAAACGTACCTGCGCAGTATTGCTGCGATAGAATGGTGTAGCTGCAACATTTGTGGCCGTCGTTGATGAAGGGTAGGAGTTCGATGTAATAACACCGCCAGTCGGATTTCCCACATTTGTGTTCGATGTTTGTTGTTGTTGTTGTTGGTCTTTATTGTTGTTGTTGATGTTTATTGGCCTTGTAGGCAAAAATTGATGTTTGGTCGATGTTGCTGCCGTTGTTGATGGCGATGGCTGTTGTTCTTTTGATGTTTGATGCTGCTGTTGTGATTCTTCTTTTTCGATTGCCACACTCATCGGCTCATGTTGAGGTTGGCTGCCGGTCACATTTAATTGTTGTTCCCCATCAGCCATTGTAGCCGAAGTGGTGGCCATGGGGCTATAGTCTAGCTCCTCTTGTTCGGTGTCAATTGGCTTTGTTGATGTTGACGATGATGGGGTTAATATGTCTGTGGTCGATAACGATGTGCTGCCGCTGTCCGTCATTGTTTGTTCGTTTGTGGCTGTTGTTGGTGGTTGACCACCAGCAACCATAATTGCATTTTCTTGCTGTGGCGGCTGTTGTGTCGGCGTGGTCGTCGGTTGCAACTGCTGTTGTTGTTGTTGCTGTTGCTGCTGCACTTGAGGTGTTGCCGGCAATTGTGCCGGTGATTTATTTATTTCTAAATTGGACATTGATATGACGCTAAAATTCACTTCACTGACAAACTATTAATTTTCGTTTCGAAATATTTCTACTGATATGGTGAATTTTTTAAAGGGGGGATTATTTTAAAATTTTTATTTTTCACTAAAATTGCCAAGATATTTGCCAACACTTTTAAATACATTAACATTTATATATTTTTTTAAAATATTCTTCTGTTATTTTTTCACATTTTTTAATTTCAAAAAAATTTCATAAATTTTTATTAATTCGTTTTATTTTATACCGGTTAACACACACGCACTCTTCCCACACACTCACTATAAAAGCCAACAGAACTTTAATTTTCTCATCGGATATTATTACCTCGCCGAAAATCGTAACCGTTGTAATCTGTTCTGTACCGGATTTCATACTAACTTCCCCAACAACAAATGGTAATTCTTTTTCTTTGATAACAGCCTAGCTGGCAGGCAGGCTGGCTGGTTGAACCACGCGCAAAAGGAACGACCGCAAAAAAATACAACAGAAAAATCAAAACAAGCTAACGGTGGAAACAGAATTCTGTAACTGCGCACTTTATTCCTGAGAGTTCGCCCCCTGGATTTTTATGTTCATACGAACTGACGTAGATAGTCTCATCCCCCATTTTATTCCGTACGGTTAAATACATCGACATCAGCCCGGCAGTCAGCCTGCCTGCTTCGAAAAAAAATCTGAGCTGAAAATAATTGCAAAACATATAAAAATAATTTCACAGTATTGTTTGATTGAAACCCCTTAACGTGTTAAAACTTGAGGGTTGTGATAAGCAGCATAAGCAGAGGATAATTGTTAGGCTGTCTATTCACAGAAATGAACGAACCATTAATGCACAGTGTGCGGAAAAAGGGGAATTTAAAAAAGCGGTGGATTTTTTTAAATATATTTTTTGAGGATCATTCATAGGTGTGGATTTTTTTTAAATATATTTTTGAGGACCTTCTTCTACAGGCGTGGATTTTTTATACCCTACACAACTATGTTGTCAGGGTATTAGAGCTTTGTGCAGCCCCAAAAGTTTGTAACGCCGCGAAATATTTTTTAGACCCATTTTTAAGTATACCGTCATATATCGACTAGTCGATCTAGACATGTGTGTCCGTCCGTCCGTCTGTCCGTCTCTCCATTATAATTTGTAAACACGATACAGGCCACAGTTATATAATCTTCACGAAATTTTGCATGTAGGATGGGTTCTGGCCAATGAAGACCCCTATTGTTTTTGGGAAAGATCGATTAATATTTAGGGGATGAAATGGACCAAATACTACATTTTTGTCGGTTTTTCTGGTCGCTCCAGAGGCCGCAATTATGACCCAAACATCGTGAAATTTTCCATGGAGAAGGGGATCTGGCCAAAGAATAAACATGCCTGTTTTCATAAAGATCGGTCAATATTTAGTGGATCAAATGGACCCTGACTTTTGTGTGAAAAATGACAAATTATGGTCAAGGACAACGCCTATAATTTTCGGTGATGATCAGATAATAATTTTGGAATGAAGTGGACCGAAAACTTAATTTTTTTGTGTTATTATCGAGTTGATCTATAGACCACAAATGAAAGCCGAACATCACAACACAACCCACGGTGAAGGGAATCTGGACAATAGCTGTATTGAATACTCGTAATATTCGGAAAATATGTCAGTTTGAGGAAGTGTTGCTGTTTACCACTAATCGGGCAAGAGGGTGCAAATATCACGAATTATTGCCCAGGCTCGGAATATTCCGCAGAAAATTTGAGTTCCGTGGTAGTTGTGTAGGATTTTTTTAAAATATATTTTTGAGCCCCGTCCAACTATACTGCTCCGCTCACTGATTTAAATATATTTTTTGAGGACCTTCTTCTACCAACGTGGATTTTTTAAAGATATTTTTTGAGGACCTTCTTCTAAATGCGAGGATTTTTTATCAAACTTTGGAACAGGGTGTTATGTATTTGTGCATATGTTTGTAACAGGCAAAAGGAAACGAGATAGACCCATGATTCCTTTTGAGAATATGCATAGAATCACTTTCTGAGTCGATGTATGCATGTCCGTCCGTCCGTCTGCCCATGTTAAATTGTAAACAAAGTGCAGGTCACATTTATTATACGAATTAGATGAAATTTGGCACAGATCATTTATTTGGCCCAAGGACGAACCCCATTGAAATTAGGAAAAATCGGTTCGAATTTATATATAGCTCCCATATATAATTTCGTCCGATTTTAAATAAATGGTGCATCAAAGAGTCAAATTTAGGTCAATTTGCACGAAATTTTGCACAAAGTACTGAAGTTAAGAAACACTAACGTGTGCCAAATTTTATTGAAATCGGTTCAGAGTTAGATATAGCTCCCATATATATTTTCGACCGTTTTTTGACAAATGGTCCACCAAGGAGTCAAATCTAGGCCGATTGGCACGAAATTTTGCACAGCGTACTGAATTTAGGATATCCGAACGTGTGCCAAGTTTTATTGAAATCGGTTCAGATTTAGATATAGCTCCCTTATATATTTTCGTATGATTTGAAGTAAATGATGCACCAAACGAGTGCCAATTTTTATTGAAATCGGTTCAGATTTAGATATAGCCGATTGACACAAAATTTTGCACAACGTGCTGAAAATACCATAACATAACGTGTGGCAAGTTTTTTTGAAATCGGTTCAGATTTAGATATAGTTCCCATATATATTTTCGTCCGATTTTTGGTAAATGGTGAACCAAAGAGTCAAATTTTGAGCGATTAACACGAAATTTTGCACAACGTACTGAAGTTAGGATATCCGAACGTGTGCCAAGATTTAGACAAATTTTATTGAAATCGGTTCAGATTTATATATAGCTCCCTTATATATTTTCGTCCGATTTTAAGTAAATGATGCACCAAAGGGTCAAATTTAGGCCGATTGACACGAAATTTTGCACAACGTTCTGAAGCTAGGATACACTATCGAGTGCCAAGATTTAGACAAATCGGTTTAGATTTGGGTTTAAATATATTTATGAAGACCTTTATTATATCCTACACAACTATGTTGTCAGGGTATTATAGCTTGTGCAGCCCCAAGAGTTTGTAACGCCGCGAAATATTGATCCTATACCCACCTTTAAGTATACCGATCGTCATATCTCGACTAGCTGAGTCGATCTATATATGTGTGTCCGTCCGTCTGTCCATTATAATTTGTAAACACGATACAGGCCACAGTTATGGACCAATCTTCACGAATTTTTGCATGCAGGATGGGTTCTGGCCAATGAAGACCCCTATTGTTTTTGGGAAAGATCGGTAAATATTTAGGGGATGAAATGGACCAAATACTAAATTTTTGTCGGTTTTTCTGGTCGCTCCAAATGCCGCAATAATGGCACGAACATCATGAAATTTAGCATGGATAAGGGGATCGGGCCAAAGAATAAGCATGCCTGTTTTTATAAACATCGGTCAATATTTAGCGGGTCAAATGAACCCTGACTTTTGTGTGAAAAATGACAAAATTTGTATTATATAGCGTATATATTTACCCCTGAAGGACATAGACCCGAAGGGTTGATATTATATCCAAGAGGAGTGGTTGACCTTTATACCAATTACCAGCTATATTGTTGTTTGTGCTCGCATGTGGGAGTTACACCTAAATATTTAAAGTTATATCCGTGTTCGTATATTATTTAGTAACCCATTATCACTCTAGAGAGCGGAACTATAGCGCTGATCGATTTGAAATGTTCCATGAGGTTCCAATTATGGTCAAGGACAACGGCAATAATTTTCAGTGATGATCAGATAATAATTTTGGAATGAAGTGGACCGAAAACATAATTTTCTGTGTTATTTTCGAGTCGATCTATAGACCACAAATGAAAGCCGAACATCACAACACAACCCACGGTGAAAGGAATCTCGACAATAGCTGTACTGAATACTCGTAATATTCAGAAGATATGCAGTGTAAGGAAGAGGTGCTGCTTACCTCCAATCGGGCAAGAGGGTGCAAATATCACGAAATATTTCCCAGGCTCGGAATAAACATGCACAGAAAGTTCGATTTCCGGGGTAGTTGTGTAGGGTATCGTATGGTCGGCCCCGTCCGACTATACTGCTTCGCTCACTGGTTTTTTATATATTTAAAAACATATAAAAATAAAATATCGCATCACTGTGCACTTAAGCATTACCCTCAAACTCGCCATCGACATCTATGTCAAGTGGGGGTGTTTTTTTGTTCTTCAGTCCTTTCTTTGTTTATTTGCAAAATCTCTGCAAAAGTTCCCGCGCATTTTTTCTGCTTCTTCCTTTATCGCCATCAATGTTTTTGTGATTATTGTCACTCAACAATGGTTGGGTGTTGTTGCTTTTGGTTTTTCGAATCAATGACAGTCATTCATTGATCGAACGGGAACAGGTTAAAAACTACAAATAGGTCGTTGATTCAGTCATTGTCAATTTATTTCCTTTTCCTCTCACCCCTTAAGCCGAAAACTTAATATAATGTTGGTTGATTGGTACATTCACACTTCGTGTGTGCATGTGTGCGTGTATTATCACTTCAAAACTTCCAAATGATAACTACATATTTTTTTAATGATTCCCCTTAGAGCATTGTGGCTAAATGAAATTCTTTATGGATTTGTCGAACCAAAAAAAAAACTTGTGACAATTTATATAAATTGAAATTCCGTTTTTTATTACTTTTTTTGAAAAGTTGAACAAAGCAGAATTTTTTATTGGCCCTGCGGGAATACAAATTGTATTTTGTTCAGGAACTTTTTTCCTCGAGTTTTTACATATGTTTTATAACATTTTATATACATAGGGTTTCAAATAGGTGGGGATGTGTAGAAACTTTTTTTCATGAGCTTTTCCACGGAAATCATATGTTTTACAAACTGGTTTATAGACTGCGTTTATCTAATCCGAAGAGGCCATATACAAGTCGACCAAGGCGATCGGCCGAGAATATCGCTGCCGTACGAGCCAGTGTTGAGAG